ATCCATACCAAGTAACTCAAAATTATCGGTTTTGACAACGCATGGAGCAACATAATTCATGTGTACTGGTGCAAAATCTTTATCTTCGTAACGTACCGCCTAGAAATCATTTTTTGGTTACTGTATCCATCACGGTACGCAATTGCACAAACCTGCTCATACGGTAGCCAAATATATTCAAATCCAGCTGCAGTTGCTGGTATTTCGACGAGCATTTGCATGGAACCGATAATCCTTCCGGTGAATTCGCGGCCGGAACTGAAAAAGAAAACGGATTGATGCACGCGCGCGAAGACGAGCGACGAAGTATGAACTCACTCGACAAATGATGCGTTGATTTTTCCGTTATCGTTCCATGCTCGACCCATTTGCGGTCTTCCATGTCGATACCAAAGTGCTACATAATGATCTTGAGGTCCATTTGGAGTATTCATTGGACGATTCAACGCTTTCATTATCGGCCTAAAGTACGCTCAATCAATCAATAGCTATGGTATGCGTTGGCGCAAAAAGTCGCACTTGTCAACAGGCCATGAATTTCCGCAGCAGAAATCACCCCAATCATTAACCCTCAACGGCCTTTGTGATGCATGCTCCTCATTTTCCTGAAAACAGATCATAATCGATCAATAATCGATCGATCCTATCGGAGCTCACAGAGCATTTCTCGCATGAACAACCAGGTGGACCACCGCTCATGTTCCGTGTCAGCACAAGCATATTACCAAGGGTATAAGAATCAGTTACCTAGAACTTTTTATATTAAGGTCCCGCAGCGCATTGTCGTCTACGATACCTCAAAATAATGATCTCCAATGGCAAATGTTGCTTTATGTTCGGCAATATCGTAATTCCCGAGCACACCTTTTTCTTTCCAGAATATTGGTGCTACCATACCATACTGGAGTTGCTCCCGTTTACCATCTCTTACTAACTAAATACACACATTGTTGCCTGCGTCTCTAACCGTTTGCTCTGCTTCTTTGCGGCTTACCTTCCATTTTGATAGAGCTAGCCATTCATAGTAGAAGTTATTTGTTACATGATTTCCTTTGTATATAAGCAAATGTATGTTTCCACCTTCAATATCCGAACCTTTGTATACTTTATGATCTGCCGCAAACGAACACTGTAATTGATATCGATCAATGAGCGAAACAGCGCCGTCTCTGCAGGACTCTAATTGCCCAATCAGCTGCGCCTTGCCCCTGCAGCTGATTGGTCAGCCACGCCCACTTTTCGCACCTACCTGTACAACTCCGCTATCGTTCCACGCTTGACCCATAACTGGTCCACCTTTGTGTAACCATAAAGCCACATACAAATTTGAATGATCTATCACTCTCACGGCATTTTGCGGAAAGTTTGTGTGAATTCGTTGCACCATCCATGTGTCCTGAACGGATGAACCTTCTTGTTGAATCATCCAGTGGAAGTATGGCATCTGAGGTGGGCACCTTCTTGTTGACCATTCCGGGATGCTACAAGTTGACTGTGCACAATAGTAAGAAATGAATCTGACTCGATGGAAAGCTGTTGGGGAGATGGAGTTTCAAAGGATAAACTTGTTTGTTTTCTACTTGGATCATCATAGATAGGTTCAGTAGAGATTTGATGTTGGTCAGGTAAAGTTGTAAACAGCCTAGCAAAACCGGGTTTATAGATTTTCTTGTGGAAACTAAATGGAGTTGATCATAGATGTAAGAGATGTGAGAGAGCATGAATGGCGTTTTCATATGGTATGCAGTTGCTCGCAAGATGCACTTATTCAGAAACACGATCCCTCTAAACACGCATTTGCAAAAACCTACACTAATTTCTGGAAAAGCTAATACAGAGTATCTGTAAAAAATGTACCAGTTGTTTGATTGTAAATACTCTCTTATTTGGAAGTCCTTCGAGAAGCGGTAAGTAAACTCTGTAAAGCTGGCATCAACTTAGATTTATAGTATAGAGCAAATTAGATCGCCCTCGATTACTGTAGGATTACGGTGGAAACTTCAACCATAGATGTCACTGTGAAAAAAGCTGCCTTTTCAAAATTTTTTGAAAAAATGTGAAAACGTGTGTAGTAGGGTTTTCATGGACGCTGAGTGCAATAATCA